GTCCCTCTGATCGAAGGTGATCGGAGATTCCGACCAGCTGAGGAAGGTGGGGACGGCTGTCTCGGTGGCGCATGCCTCCTTGTAGCGCACCTTGTGCTGGCGTTTCGTCCAGATGGCGTCGGACCCACCGAAGATCATGATGCACTCCTTAGGTTCGGGGAAGCCATCTCTGTCCTTGCCTGTTGCGCCTTCTTTCTTGGCTACCGCCTCTTTGCCGTCTCCCTCCTTTGGCCCGTTGGCCTATCGGAGGAAACGTTTGAGGAGCTCGCAGTCCTTGAAGAGGTGTTTGACGGAGTAGGCGTGGTTGGTGCACGGGCTGTCCATGAGTTTGTTGAAGTGGTCAAGCAACCCTTGTTGGGGCTGCTTGCCCGTGCGATCAGCCGCAGCGACCATCGTGGTGTTGTCCAATCGACGCCGATTCTTTTTGTTCTTCTTGCCCCTCTGTGTGGAGGGGCCCTCGTCTTGGTCCGCACGCTTGGCCTTTTCTTTGTCCCGACCTCCGCTGAAGACCGCTCCGACCACCTCCTCACCAGAGGCGTGGTTAGTGGCGACATCGAGCAGGTCGCGGGTGGTACGGGGCTTCAGGCAGCCAAGCTTGTGGATTAGGGACTCGCAATTCGTCCCGAAGAGGAACACGTTGATGACGTCTACGTCGACAACATCAGGGAGGGAGTTGCATCGTTGGGAGAACGTATGGATATAATCCCTCAGGGACTCGCTGGGCTCCTACTGGCAGTTCTTGAGGTCCCAGGAGTTTCTAGGGCGGACATACGTCCCCTGGAAATTTCCGACGAAGACTCTCTTGAGGTCCGCCCAGTCGCGGATGCTGTTGTGCGGGAGGAATTCAAGCCATGCCCGAACATGTTCCCCCACGCAAATGGGAAGATACTGAATGATGAAAAAGTCATCATCCACTCCTTTGGCCCGGCAGGCGAGCCGAAAGTCTTTGAGCCAAATACCTGGGTTTGTCTCCCCGATGTATTTGGTGATGTTGGTGGGTGGTCAGAAACATCGCGGGAACGGTGCTCTCCGGATACGCCGGCCGAAGGCCCGTGGTCCCGGGCCCTCAGGGCTGGGATTCCGGTCGTCTGGTCGGCGACCGCGCCTGGGGCGTGTTTCATCACTCCCTTCAATGGTCCGGCCGGGATCTGTGTTGTCTGCTCCTACTGCCGCTCGGCGGGCGTCATCATCATGCCGGACCTGATGCTAGTTGCTGACGATGCTGCGAGCGTCCTGGTGTGAACTGGTCCGTTCGTGCACCGGTGGTCGGTGAGGGCAGGCGCCAGGTCGGACCGTGGTGCGACTGCCGCCCCCGGGCCGCACCTAGCGGCTGTAGCGGTGAGCGAATGGAGCGATCTGTTTGGTGCGTCCCCGTTCCCCCGGTGGGGAGAGAGGGCGCGTGTCGGAGTCGCGATGCGGAGCTTTCCGCCTGTTGAACGGCGGCGGCTTCTACCAGAACCCAAAGGTTCCGGTAGACCTCCCTCTCCCGAGGGTTGACGGGCTCGGGAACACCGCGCAGAAGCATTACCGTAGTGGCAATGTTCTGGCTAGCCCGAACAAACTATGGGGGATTGTTCCCCTCATTCACGATGTCATGTTGGACCTGGCGGGCACGACCCCGGGCGCCACTTGCCGGGTCGTGCGCTCGCGCAGACGTGAGGGCCCCCGCACGCCGGTCCGGAGGGGTGTGAGTCTGCACAGATTCCACAACCACCTACGGCTATCCCAGAGCGTCTGCCATAGCGCACTCTCGGGACGGACGGTGGCGAGGTGCCACATCGCCGATGCTGGAGCCGTCGTTCTCACCCTCGTCATTTGGGAGTTTGCGGAGAGCGGCGGGAGCGTAGCTCGCCATTCCCACGAATTTAGATGTGAGGGGGGATGGCGCCAGCATCCTTCAGAGCCCCCGAGCGTACGCATCTACGGAGGACACGAGGCCATAGGGGAACCGATCGTACGGTGTTTGTGGCATGGGCGATGCGGTCCCTCCAGATGATCGGTGGGAGATAGTAAATAGAGAATGAATATCAGTACGCATATTACTTACAGCGGGGTTTGAGCAGAGAGTTTGCTCGGAATGAAGCACAGATGCCGCGTTGTCGAAGTCATGCGTCCCGGAGTCGATGGAGGGCACCCCTCCGATGGGTGCCAGGACATGAGCCTCCTTGCGGAGGTGCAGTGCGCCGAGCCGACCGACGACGAAGTCTAGGCTTCCGAAGAGGAAGGCCTAGGATGGCTCGAAGACGGGTGGGACCCGCATCCCAGCCGGTGAGAGTGCGGGAAACTACAGCGAGCCGAAGCGAATCGTATCGCCCGAGCCCGCCACAGCGAGGGTGGCGGAAAAGTGGGCCATCCGATGACCAAAAAGTGTTAAACGTACAGCGTCCTCCCCACGAATGGCGCCAACTATCGGTGCAGAATGTGACCAACTAGTAAATATTTGTAGTTTTGCCGTACGTTATGATCGGAGGTGGCCTAGCACTCAATGACACAGGGTTTATACTGGTTCAGGCAACGTGCCATACGTCCAGTTTAAGTCGGTCGGTGACTTTATTTCTGAGCCCAGGTGCTCGAAGTCTGCAGTGGGGTTACAAACGAGAAGGAGAAAGATGGGGTGTACAAGAGGTCCGGTCGGCTCTAGTCGGAAGGGCCGAGAGCGACAGGAGCTACGCTATGAGCTGAGTGTTCAAGCGTGTGCTTGAGGTTCGAACCTGGTGGTTCTACGGTTGTGGACTAGTGAACTTGATCGATCTAATGAATCTCAGAAAGGCTCTAAGAGGGCCTCACTTTGTTGGAGGGAGCGCATCCCCTTTTATAGATAAAGGTGATGGCTTTACAAGTGAGAGGGTGAGGGTACGTATGTTACTGAGCTTTGTTACCTATACCGGTGGGTACAAGATAATGGTAGGCGCCCACAACACTGTTGATGTCGCTATAGAATGTCAGCTACATGTGGGAGGTTGCGTTGCTTTCTTCAGGAATGGTAGACGTCGGTACGTGCAAATACTGTTTGCCTAGAGGCATGTGAGGAGTTTCACCACGTTCACCTGGTACGGTAAATCCCGGCGCCCACAACACTAGCGATGCCCAGAGGCACGTGGGGGGCCTTACCGTATGGGAGTTTAACGGCGCCTACAACACTGTAGAGGGAAATGTCGGCGCCTACAATACTGTTTGTGTCAGGGTGGTTGCAGAGTACTGTTCCTGTAGACGTACAGTGTATGGTCCCTGGTATCGTGGTTTGAGTTGTGCGCCCTAGCTTGCTTTCTTCGTTCGTCCCCTGGTTCCTTCCGAGCGGGCGTCCCTGGTCTGATGGCCCCAGTCGGCTCTGGTTGCGCCAGTCGGAGAAGAGCGGTGAGCAGGGTTTCTACGAACCTCGGTCGGAGACGCGGGGTCGGAGTCGGAAGTAGCGTTTGGGCCAGGCCCTTCGATAGGAGAGGCCGTCCGGAGGCGGCTGGAGACCGAAGCGAGCGCTCTGGTCGGAGAGGTGGGCGAAGTAGTCGATGAGCGGGCGCTGTTCCTCTTTGGTCAGACCTTCCGATCGGTGACTGGACCGCCCTTCCGGCCTGTTTGTTTTAGACTCTTGGGCCGGCCTACGAGTTACGTGCTGCCTGCTTGGACTGAGCCTTGGCGTGGAAGCCGGTCCCTGAGGGACGCCGGGTTCATGAACCCGACAAAAATAGTTTTTTTATTTTAGTGACCATTTCCTTTCTTGAGATTGTTGCAAAATGATACACACGTATGTCGCGTCAACACCACGTGTGTGTTGTAATCGTTTTAGTTAATTTCACTCAGATTCTTTCTCGAGGCTACAATACAAATTACAAAACGATAGATCACGCGTACACGATACATGAGTGCTCCTGTTAGATGCTTACAAATATTTTTTTTGAACGAACCGCACAAGATAGTACTTGTTTCATTGATATATTCCATAAATACAATTCATATGCTTGTGAATTGTTGCGCCACTGTAAAATTAGTTTCTCAAACACAAGGATACGCATACACTGACGAAAACTCGTGCTGATCTTGGCATTTGGTACATAAAAATGCATGCAAATTCAGAAAGGATACCACTCTATTTGCTTTGTGTGCCATCATAATTTCAGATAAGAGAAATTCAAATAATGAATGGAAACATTTAAGAAACAATCCAGTAACCATATTATGCAATTCAACCGCTCAAATCTGACACACAAAGTCTTCCTGACTACAATCTACCTACCTCGGTTCATCAGGGATACAATCAGCTAATGATAGCAAACATAAACTAACTACGTTGGTTCACATGCTCCCATCTATTCTTTCCCAGAATTCTCTCTAATGGTCAGATGGTAATCTCTGCTGTCAAATATGTAATCTCCGCTGCTTGTTGCTGATGCTTGAAACGGTCAGAAGGTTTCAGCACTGAAAAGTCAAGAAAAAGTGGAGAAAGAGGAAAGATGTAATCTATAGCCTCTAATGCACATCATGCAATATGCCCAATTTCTTCTGCTTCTCTATAGAACTAGTTTTTCGGACGCGCCCATGCGCGCGGTATTTTTTGGAGGGAAAAAAGATATAATCAAAGTTGGGCTGTATTTCGATTTGAGAAAAATCTGAGGATGTTTTCGCAAAAAAACAGCGAGAGTGTCTGGGGAGCGCGAGTTGATTTTCGCTAAAGTGGAGGTCTTTTTTGCAAACAAACCAGTGCCCATCCGGTCTGGACTGAGCGTTGATTTGGAAATAATACGAGGCGTTTTTTTGTAAAAAATTCTGAGAGGGCGTCTGGAGCGTGGGTTGATTTCCGAAAACTTAAAGAGGTTTTTCGTAAAACGACCGCGGCTCGCCCGATCTGGGCCGTCCGCGCGGCCGATCGAACGGCCGCGAAAAGCCGGCGACGTGGCCACCCTGAGGCCGCGCCGTGGCCACACCAAATCATATCTTTAGATGATTCCCCTAGCTTGTGTGCAAAAGAATGAGCAGGGACACCAGTGTGACCATATTGGTCAGTTTCTTCACCTTTTCCACTCTCCAACTTCCACTCTCCACTCACCATCTTCTTCTGTCACTGCTCGGTTTGACTCCAACAAAGCTGCATCCTCCTCCCTCACCGTCGTCACCGATGTCAGAATCGAAGAATTGCTCATCTCACCTTGAAGAGAAACACTGCTCTCGTCAGATTTATCACCCTCCAGCTGTTGCACAACCACAACCTGAACCGGTGGAGCCATGGTCGTTTCGTCATCAACAACAACCAGATGACCATTCGGCGGTGATGCCTGAGATACTGCAACCATTTCTGTTGCCCTGAAAACGTCGTGATCGTTGGACACTACGAGCAACGGCTTCCTGCTGTCCGCATGATCATCGTCAGCAACCTTGGAGTAGAGGACCTCGCCGTCGACGTGGTCCAGGTTTGCCGTGCGCACCTCCTGCGCCAGCGCCCACGGCCAGCACAAGAGCCACTGCACGTAGTCCGTCAGCGACATGGAGCCGCAGCACGCCCTGCTCCCTGGAAGGCCAAATCTCTTCCGCATCTGGATCCTCCAGTAGCCGCCATACCATGGCGAAATGCTAGCAACAAGAGCGTGGAGAAGAGGGGAAGACACGGCGCGTGCGTTTCTTTTCTGTTGGTTTTTGTGGAAAGAGAGACGATGGAAGCCATAAATCTTGGGCGTCTTGAATGGTCAAAACTCGGGTGCCGACTCCTGTTCCTCCGCTGCTACGCGGCAGGTTCGGCTGAAGAATCCAGGCAGGGAACCATACTTGGTGTTACTGGGAGCCGCAACAGAGCTTAAAAGGGGACCAGCTGAGCCCTAAGGTGAATTCATAGGATGTGGTTTGAACTCCATAGAACACACTCGGCGTAATCCTGTAAGATAATCATGCTGAGGGGGGCTAACAGGAGGCAGTCCTAAATGCAATTGAGAAGTTTCCTGCAAAATATTGGAAGACTCATTCAATAATTATTGACTTTCCCTCAACAACCAGTGCACAATACTGAGGTGTTCCAACCTCCAAGCACAGCAAGGAAAGTGAGTGATTACAAGTTTACAACTTACCAGAATTCATATCAAACCAGGAAGAAGAGCGTGCCATGCCAAAGTTTGATGGAGGTGCAGATGTCTCTCCTTGATGTGTACCTCCACTGTTAAATCTACTATTTTTCATTACCACTTGCTCAACACCTATAAGGGACAGTGCTCTCCGACCAATAGTTGCAATTCTTGGGTAAGGATCTTTAGCAACAGAACACATAGTCGATATAAATTGAGAATAAATGCCACTATCAACAGGTCTCGATCTGTTGTAGCTGAGACCACCATTACTTGCATTCTCTTTCAGTAATATGCCTGAATCAGAGTGTTGGGAAGAATCATCTGACTGGGGAGAGCCATGCATGATACTACTTGTTGCAATCGGGCTGCTCGTAGAAATTCTTGCATCATGGCCAGTGGCACTGCTATCACTGCCAACCACAGGACCAATATGAGAAGCAAGGCCACTGCTGCCTTGTCGAATGTTGTTGGGACTGTAGACATTGTTTGGACTACTTATATTGCCTAGTGACGGCAGTGACTTCAGCAATGGATTGGTTTGAGGTTTCCAATACTCAGCAGCAACAGATTTGAGATACTTATTGTGACCCAATGCAAACCGAGTAAGCGCTGGAAAAAAAATAATCAGGTCAACTCAAAATGGTTTCCAAAAGGTTAAAAAGAATATTCTATGTTCAACACAATAAAAAGAATATTATATGAAAAACGATATACTTTCTAATGCACATACCTATAGCAACCTCAGATCTAACAAGGGGGCTACCATCTGAAGAGACCTGCAGAAGGCTTCGAACGACATTTATTTCAGCTTTTAATTTCTCATCATCATCAGAATCATCATCAACACCATTAATGATGTTGATCCCATATCCAGGAGATTCCCTAATGCAAAAACAACAGAAGCTCTGACCTGGCAAGACCAAAATATTGATTAAATATCTTGTGAAGTAAGCGAAGGGGAGAACAGATGAAATATGAAGGCATTGTACCTCAGGATGTGTCTCTGATAACAAATAAGCTACAGTTCTGGTGAATTTGATTGCAGACCAAGTAACCGAGCCTCAGGGAAATCTTCCCAGAGTTTGCCAAGGCATAAATAAAGCCACTGCAAAAGCAAAGGTTCTGTCTGTGCATCATGAGGATTTTCAGGTTGCAGATGTCTCAGGCAAACATCTATAAGACCTGCATTAATACAGGCCTCTTGACCCGTTCTATGCCCATCCACAATAACTGCTAAAACAAAAGCACCCATTGCACGCTGCTCTGGGTAAGCATCCAAACTAACCTGATAAAATATGCATGTCCTCCATCTTTAACCAAGTCAACCTGGCACGACTGTCATTCGGGGAAAAGCATACAGGTTAAACACCTGAACCTTATATTACAATGGAACTTCAAAAGATTCCATAGAAGAGTGCATACCTTATCAAGAGAGAGAATTTTTGTCCATATGCCCATGGTCCCATGTCAAGAAACCTTCCAAGCAGAACAAGTGCTCTAAATCTATGTGATTGACTAAGCAGGACCTGCACAAAAAAGACAAGATGTAAGAAAAGGAAAACAGGAAAAGAAATCTGGTATACAGGGGAAAACATGCAAAACGTTTTACAAAAAATAGAATTATAGAAGTGAAGAGAAGGGCAATGAGGTACTTCAACAGAGTTAAACTGAGTTTAACAAATGATATTGACCTGTACGAAACTGTAACATAAAAATGTTGTACCTGAAGAACTATAGGTAACTGCTCAGGGGGCTTCTTGTCCTCAGAACCATGATCAAGCCACACTTCAAAAGCCGTCAGCTGTTCCGTAAAAAATGGGCTTGGCTGGTTTGAATTAGAAGACAGATAAATTGGTTATACTGAAGTGATTACATTAGGATGACAAAATAATACTAACAACAACTTTGTATTTCTTGAAGTGCTAGGTAACAAGTAGGAAACCTGAAACTCTGCATTTGGATCAGCAATTAACTGAGGAAGCTTGGAAAGACAAATCTCAGCAGCCATGTCCCATGCGTCCCTGAGATTTAGTGAGTTACAAAATGCACCGAATAGCTAATGTAACAACATAAGAACTAGTCAGGTTAGCTACCACATATGGTGTTGATGTGTCGGTGGCAACAATGGATAAGAAATTGGAGAACAATTCGCAGATCGCATGATTCTCTCAGTAAGCAAGAAGTTGCGAAAGAGACTAGCAACCAGAAGATCTTGCCTGAAAAGCCTTTGGAGCAGATCTGCACAGTGAAAGTGTGAAACTTTATCATAAACCCAATACAGCTAGACATTTATTTTTTAACTCAAATGATTTTCTCTGATTTTCTTTTTCTCAAAAGAACTATATCTATCTCCTAGACGCCATACCATGAGGAAGAACATTCCAGGCAATAGTGTCTGTAATAGCAGTGAAAATCCAATTCAGCTCTCCAAGAAGAGTTTACGGTCATTTTGCCTTCCGGGGATTTGGTCGATAAGAGAATGATCCATAGAACCACGGAGTAATGATCGTTTACAAAACCTGCATAGTTTATAGGCATGAACCCATGTAAGCACAAGATGATAAATAAAAAAAGTAGGAGACAATGGAGATCGGAGAGGGAGGGAGAGAACCAGTGCAATGCCATCTTGATGGGTGTTGGAGGCAAGTGGTAAACACATCAGCAGGAAATTCTGCACTCTGAGGAAGTGTTTGATGTGCTTCGCAGGCAGCAACAAGAACGCAATCCTTCTGTGAAGATGCAGATGCAGAGGAGCTAGAACTCCAGTCTAGGCGCTGAAGTAAAAAGAAATCACTACATAAATTAGACAACTCTGGAACCAAAAAGAAACAGAGACATAAATCATGATTACCTTCAACTTCAAGAATTAGAGAAATATGCATTAATGAAGCATATAGCATACCTCTAGAAAAGCTTTCACGATAATTCCAGCTGCTGAGCAGTCAAAAACATAAATGGAAGGTGTTTTTAGCCATGAATCAAGATCAGTAATCGGAAGGGGAATATACTGTGTGTAACTCTGCAACAAAATGCAAAAAAGACCATTTCATGAGAAGCGCCTATGATAAGTACATGCAGCAAGTAATACAGTGTCTTAGTAATATTTACCTTGTTAAACACCCAAATCTCACCATTAGCTGTAGGCTTTGGGACACCATGGCCATTGTAATGGAAAAGTACTCTCTCTGATCTGGCATTTGCGGCAAGTATTACAAAGCTTCTTCACTTCCTCCACTGTTGGATCTAGCTGAAGCTTGTAACGAGCCTGCAACAGACATTAGGATTTCGGACAAAAAGATGCAAACAATCAACATCAAAATTCAAAATACCACAGACGTTAAACAGGAAAGCAAGTTCCTCACCTTAGGTTGCCAGCGCTCATACTGTGAGTGCAATGTTTTTCCGATATTTTCAAGGGCTTTAGGAGGTGCCATAGAAAATGGATCTGAAAAGAAAGAAACAAAAATGAACATATGTCAAGGCAATACCCGAGTACAATAACAGTATTTAAGTACAAATCTATCAACAAATATGAATTATCATGCCTAAAATCCAGTGAATTTTCCACTTTCTCGACAAATAATTCCAAGAGATGCAGTATGTTACACTACAAAGTCTTAATTCATCTACCACCAAATGCCAGTTATACACATTCAACTATGGGATAGATGCATAAAATCAGCTAAAATGAAGCAAAATAATGTCATATGGGAACAGTAGGTGCCAGACAGTTTCATTGTAGCTGTTACATCCAGTTAGCAGTATTTCATTTGGCATTGAGAAAAGCAAGACACAGTTTCAATCAAATGGTGAAAAGCAGTTTCAGTGCATCCTAACTCGCAGAGCATATCCATACGAAGATGAGCCGAGTCGAATAAGCATTTACCTATCCAGCACTCCATTCTTGCACAAGGGGAAATTTTAATTACATCTGGTGGATCAACACTTATGTTTAAACATAGTACAAGTGCAACACATCCTGTCTTCATCTGTACAACCAAATCCATCATTAGCAAATGTCATGTAAAAGATGCAGTCAACATATAAGAAAATACGGAGAATCATCTCATGGCCAGAGACAATAGAAACATTAAATAGCTACAAATTCCATAATGACATAGTAATTTGTGTTGCAGACCAACACTCAAACCAAAGTAGGCAGCCAATGACACAGTAGATTAATGCAGTATGCAGATTGTACTATTCTGCATGCATCGTTTAAAAAGCACAAAACTGGGTTGCTAAAAGTCAAAGTGATCCTCAGACAAGTAGACATAAGCTGCAAACATCGAAGGCACTTTAGGATGATATATTGTACACCAAGTGGTTCTGCAAAATCTCAAAACAAAATATAGTAAAATGGAACGTCTGCATTCTTTGCCAAGAGCATTGGTAATATCTAAAATCAACCCAGGGACTTTAAGGCTCCCAATGTTCAATTGATTTCCACTCCATGTACGGCAATGTCATCTTTACCATTAAAACCTCCGATCCAGCAATCACATATGTCCATTGACATGAACTAAAACACCCTATTTTCCATCTGGTCTGGTGATTCATGCCATTGCAATATGCACAATGTGGCATACCTGAAACCACTGTGCGCTTCCATGCCAGCTTTGTTACAGTGGAATCTCATAAGCATACTTTAAGCCTCCATTGTTGACACTAATAACTTGGGCAGGGAACTTAAGTCACAACAAAGAGTGCCAACAAGTAACACATAGATGATGCACCTGCCTAAAGGCAAACCAGAAGTCCAGAAAAATCTGAACAGTAGTGGCATTGTGAACTGATTATGCAATATGCATCAACAGGGAATGTAAAATTAATACCTTCAAAAACATCTAAAGAATAAGCAACGTAGAAGATAATCATGTCAAAGTTGGCAAATCCAATGAAATCAATTTACTCCAACAAATTTGCAAGCCACATCAAGATGTCTTGATACAGTTAGAATTCAATTCATTTGAAATAATGCTCATTTATCAACACCCACAAAAAAATGGTACTTTTCAGGCAGGGACTTCGCATGGTGCCGATATTCTTTCCTAGAGAGAACTGATAATAGCAAGGAAGTAGTGGATGCCTCCAGTGAGAAGTTCTTCTCATCAATTTTGGAGAGGTAAGCCCCAACCCTCATTATCTCACCTCTATCCAACAGCCTCCTAATTATGGCATTTAGCATACCTGAGTTTGGAGTGCATCCACTCTTTTCCATTGCCAAAAACAGATTGTCAAACTCCTGTAGCAACCCTTCTTTAATGAGATTTTCTGTCACTAAACGATAGGTCACAACATTCGGAACTAAACCATGGGTTGAGATATCAGTGAACATATCCATGGCATGTTCCTTTCTGCCACTTTTGAACAAAGCATCAATCATAATGCTGAAAGTAATAATGTCAAGTTGAAAATCCTTTGAACATAGACTCCGAAACATTTTTAATGCGTCATCAACATGATTGTTTTTGCAAAGACCATTCAAAATTATGAGAGATAACATCAGGTCTCACACCCAGGCGTACCATCAAGTCAATGAGACTCTGAGCTTCCATGACCCGTCCTTCATTGCAATAGTTACGCATTATTGTGTTGAAGAACGGGGCATTGGGATGGATACCTTGATTCAGCATTTCATAGAATAATTCTCCAACCATCTCCCATCTGTCGACGGTGCACAGTCCATACACTAGTGAGCTAAAAACAACGATATTAGGGGTCACCCCTTCATTGATCATCTGATTGAATTTAAGCATTGCCTCGTCCACCCTTCCCAACTTGCAAAGTGCATCTATTAATGCTCCATAGCTGTATGCATCAGGAATCAACCCATGCTGCCTCATCTGGTCAAATATACGCATTGCCTCATCTATCATACCACCTTTACATACGCACATAACACTATGTTGAAGACGTGATGGTTAGGTGAAATACCATCTGCTACCATTAGATCTAAGAGATCATGCATATCAGCAAGATCTCCTTTCGAAGCATACCCATTAAGCAGAATGCTATAGGTAGTTACATTAGGTTTTATGCCCTTTCCAATCATAGAATCAAAAATCTTTCTAGCTTCTGTGATGTTTCTATTCTTGCAAAGATAATCTAGCAGCAAACTATAAGTAAAAACATCTGCTCGCAAACCCTGTGTGGACATTTCATTGAGGATTCGAACCACCTCTTTCCACTGTCCTGTAGTGCAATATCCATTGATCAAACAATTATATGTCCTATTATCTGGCTTAACACCTTTATGAATCATCTCCTGAAGGACACCCTCGGCCTTGTCAACTGCTCCAGCTTTGCACAGGCCATCAATGAATGTGGTGTAGGCCACAACATTAGGCAAAATCCCCCAATCAAGCACTTCATGAAATAGGCCGTAAGCTGTGTCCACCTGACCCTCTCTAAAGAAGCCATTGATGACAGTGCTGTACGCCACCACGTCTGGTGGGCAGCTACCACCTCCATCATCAGCCATCATGTGGAGCAGCTCAAGTGCCTCCTGAGCTCTCTTTTCATTGCAGAAACCCTTGAGAAGTGTGGCGTAGGTGACGACATCGGGTGTGCAGCCAAACTCGGGCATTCGTCGGAGCAATATGTCCATGGCCTCACCCATCCTCTTTGTGCCACAGAGACCGTTGAGAAGCTGATTTATGACTATGGCATTCACCCTAAAGCCCTTCTTAAGTATGACGCCAAAGCCAGAGAAAGCGAAATCCAGGTGACCCATGCTACAGAAGCTGCCGATGATTTTGCTGTAGGTGCGCAGGTCGGGAGATACCTTGGTGGGGGAGGCACGGGCCATCCGGTTGAAGAGGGAAACGACGAGCGCAGAGGTTGAGGAGCCCCTGCCCTTGGCGCGAGAGACGACGGTGAGGAGCTGGTTGAAGGCGCGAACCGAGGCGGGCCGGGCGAGCGGGAGCAATTCATCGAACAGCTTGACGGCGTCGTCGAGGACGATGCTTCCCGAGCTGAAGCGGCCGGCGATGACGCGCTCCAGCTCCAGGCACCGGTCGCGGGCGGCGCTCGGGCGGCGGGACATGCTGCTCGCGAGATCCGCCAAGTCCGGGTCGGTGAGGCGGTGTGATCGGTGGGGGCGGAGCAGCGCTGGTGTGGTGGACGGCGTTCGGCGGCGGCGTGGCGGCGCTGGTGTGGTGGACGGCGTTCGGCGGCGCTGGAGTGGTGTGGCGCTGGTGTGACAGACCTGTGTGGTGTGGCTGCTCACCCAACTGAAAAGATAATCATGCTTCTCACCCAACTGCAAATTTGGAAGTGGGCCACTTGAAACCTTGGTGTGCCGCTTGGTGCCATGGGCCCAGGTCCTGGAGATCAAAGTGACTTGTAAAGTCCAAACTGAGGCCCATCAATCCATTGCCCTTTGAGAGGTGAAGAAAAAAAAAAACCTCAACATCACCGTGCAAGAGGCTAGGAAATGTCCAGCTTGTAATCGTTTTTGTGAATTTCACTCAGATTCTTCCTCGAGGCTACAATACAAATTACAAAACGATAGATGATCACGCGTACACGATACATGAGTGCTCCTGTTAGATGCTTACAAATATTTTTTTTCGAGAATACATGGGAGAGCTGCGTATTTTTTATTAAAAAGAAGAGTAATAAAAAGTTTTACAACGCGGGCCAACCAGACACGCACACGGTTTGATTACTTAGAGTTCTATTACATAGGAACTGAATCAACTAGAGGTACTTCTTATGAAGGCCAAGAAACTAAGAGGATTGTACTGCAGCCGTCCATCCCAAGGAAACCATATGCTTAGCGCCGGCTTCGATCCATAGTTGAGCCTCTTCGAGGATCCCGTATATCAATTGTGCCACAGTTTTTGTTTGATTTATGCTAAATACTCTGTCGTTCCTTTCTTTCCAAAGTTTCCAGGAAATCAACATAAATGTGGAGTCCAATCCTTTCTTCTTGGGTTTGTTCATTCCCAGCCTCTTTTGCAGCCACCATTCTATCACTGTCAGTCCAGGGCTAGGAGCTGGGCATTGCAGGCTCAGCATTCTGCTGACTGCGTGCCACACCTCCTGGGTATAGCAACATGTAGCGAATAAGTGGTCAGCTGTATGCTTACAAATATTGCAGTTGAAAAAGCACTGGTTTGTGTTTAAACCATGAAAAGAAAAACCGGTATTTGAACACGTAGGGCAGAGTCGTACTCCGACGACCATTTGCACAAACAGATGCTTCCCATTTCGTCGCGGTCATTCTCAGATGCGTTACCCGGCATTGCAATGCAAGGTAGGCATTCGAGATTCATTTCAACAAAGCATCCGTTCACGTACGCCATGACAATAAAATTGTGAAAGCCACAGCTTTCAGAGTTTCAGACGCCTGCCTGCTCCCTCACGTCAAAACTCTACTCCCATCCTCTCTGCCGCCTCCTTTCTCCTCATCTAGCTTGTATTTCCAAGTTCCAACCCACCCATCCATCTCTGATCTCTGCACCTCACGTTCTCGTTCCAGGGAGGAGACCCTTCCTTCCTTCTCAGACCAGGCCAGCAGCAAACCATGAGCAATAGAATACACCCGTCGTATGCTAGCCGCGGCGGCCGAGCTCATCGGGCGGCGGCGGCATCATCGGATCGCCGCCCGGCGGTGGCGGTGTACACGGTATGGAAGAGGTCCAGCGTGGGGTTCCAGGGCACCGACGGCTTCTGCGTCTACGACGACGCGGGCAGGCTGGCGTTCCGCGTCGACAACTACTCCCGGCGGCGGAAGCTCTTCGCCGGCGAGCTGCTGCTCATGGATCGACAGGGCACGCCGCTCCTCTCCCTCAGGCCACAGGTGATTACTTGCTACTACTACTCAACGTTTCTGCACAATCCAGGGCAGCAAATGACTTTCTGCTTGTTTAGGACATGCATGCATTTTCCCTCAACTTTAAAGAATCCGTTTCTGCTGCCTTGATATGAAGACCTCAAAAATAAAAAAAAACAATTATTGGCAATACAGCAAAACAGACCCAGTGATTTTTCTTGAGGCAGGTTATCCTTTGCGGTGTTCTTTTCTTACTTGTTAATGAAATTCTTGGAAGCAACATAGAGTAATACCAAAAGTATACGAAATTCATTAGCAGTCCTTAAAGCTCGATCGAAGACTGGATCAAAGAATTAGGGCCTGTTTAGATTCAAAAAAATTTGCGCAGTATCCATCACATCGAATCTTGCGGCATATGCATGGAGTACTAAATATAGACGAAAAAAAAACTAATTGCACAGTTGGGTGAGAAATCGCGAGACGAAACTTTCGAACCTAATTAGTCCATAATTAGACACTAATTGCCAAATACAAACAAACGAGCTACAGTTCCCAAAACCAAAAATTTTTAGCATCTAAACACGACCTTATTTACAGTCAACATGTAGCGATCAATCGCAAATGTCAATTTTTTATATTTTGCTATCTCCATTATTAGCACTCACTCTGTCCCATTTATTTGTTATTTTCCTCTCTCGGAATATGACTGCGCCTTTGAAGGCCGTCGTCAGATGAAATGCATTTGCCCTAATTTTGTTTACTGGGTTAGTAGTAACCTCCACATTAATTCAAAGATTTTGGTGACATGTGTGAAGATTTAGGATCAACCAAAGTAGGACAAAATCCGAGGAAAATTAATGCCGTCGCCAACAAAACAAGCAAACAAAATGCTTTCATAAGGAAATAGAATCATATACAATGAGATCTTATTCTGTTGTCGCATATATATTGGTATCTTATTATTATCTTACTATCATTGAAACCTTTTCTCTCTTCCTTTTCTAAAAAGAATTCAAACCTTTTGTTGCAACTTGCAACAAGGAAAGCACAAGCATGATCCTAAACCGGTTTTTACTGTCCTTTCCGCAATTAGCTTTTGACTAAGCAAAACCACAGCTCCTAATCAGGGTAAAAACTGTTTTTTTTTTCATTGTAACAGCTTCTCAGCCTGCACGATCGCTGGAACTGCTACACAGCAACGGAAGGAGGCGTCGACAAGAAGCCGTCTGCCTCGTCACAGCAGCAAGTGTTCACGATGAGCAGGTGTTCAGCTCTGAAGATCAGCGACGAAGCAGAGGTCCACATGTCAGCAGCAGGCACTGCTGCGTCGTCATCGTTATCTGGCCTTGGCTGCAACAAGCACCCGCAGGCCGCCGCCGCTTCGGGCTACCGGATCGAGGGCTCCTTCTCCAGGAGGAGCTGCAAGATCCGTCGTGGCAGCGACGGCAAGGAGGTGGCACGGATAACGAGGAAGAACGCCGGCGTGGCGTCCAGGCCGGCGGCGACGCTCGGTGACGACGTGTTCAGCCTCGCCGTCCTGCCGGGTGTCGACGCGGCGACGATCACGGCTATCGTTGTTGTCATGGATAGGATCTGTCACAAACCGTACACGCCCATGGTGTGTTCTTCACAGTAGAGTTGTAGTGTAAAACCGTAGTTGTAGCAGTAGCGCAGAGGCAGCAAGGACAAACGTTTACAAGATTTTGATTTGACACAGATACGCATGGTGATGCAAAGGGCAGGGGAAAAAGACATGTATTTGCTAGTGCCTAGTGGAGGATACACCTGACATCACCTACTTTATACTTATTCCAAGACATTTTCAACGACACCACAAACGCAATAGGCTCGCCACCACAGAAATGGCTACGATGATATCATGATACCAGACTGCAAGTTCATGACACAGACCTAGACGAATTCAGAGTAATTCAAGTGCAGGGCATCCTATCATGCCAGTGGGCAATGGTCTCCAGCAAGGGGAATCCCTTGAAACAAAGCTCAAAATCCTGATACCAAGCAGAGCACAATGAAAAGGATGAAAGCGACTAAAGTTGATCAAATCCAAGATGCAAATCGGTGAAAGGGGTATTCAAGATCTAACCAGTTACAAGAGATGCCTTCACCTATGCGTAACGCAAGCCCCAAGTGTGTTAACATTCAAAGACTAAGCGAAGCCAGTGACTTCTTGACATTCTTATCGCATCAGTTGGGATCGATGGACCGTTACCTCTCTACTCACAAAAACAGTTTAACATGAAAAGACAACAAAGAATGTAAAGCTAAAACAATCAGCATGAGTTTCAAACAGAACATCTGGGTCGTCAACAACTTACAATCAGAACCATCAGCATGGGGCCATGGAATAAAGTTTAACCAAGTCGGCGAGAGATCGAAAGAATTCCTGCATCCACGAATTAGCTTAACTTTTGATGTTTCCGCAGAAGCACCATGCTAATAAGCAACTTATTCAGTGAAAAGATCACTGCCGGCCAAGATTCTCCAAAGCACAAACATAATGGATAGTCGGCACTAGGAATAAAACCTCAGCTCACCACAAAAGAACTACACACACATCTTTCCGTCCTAATCCATTTTATTTAACAGTATCTAAAGAGTTGATTGTGCTAATCTGCTTAAACTATCAGCTAGGTAACCTGATTCGTTTCAGACTTGAAGCATACTGAAGACAGAAATTTTCAGTAAAAGGAATGATGGGGCAGATCTAACTACATAATAACAATATACTTCGAAGTAGAGTGAACAGAATATTGCCTTTGAAAAATTTGAAGGGTGGAGGCAATCTCCATTCATGAACCATAGCTATGGAGTATAAGGTTATATGATTCTGTAAGATACCATACATTTTCTACTTAACCCTGAAGTATAAATTTCCCTTTTTGGTAGGGTGTGGGCTTCAGAAAATGATTTAGCCAAAGTAATAAATGACATAGTATTTTTGTACACTACTTGTGATTTGTGAGTCTTAGTCTACATCCAATCCCTAACGGCTGTCTAGATTTGATAACAGAAAATGGTACCTCCTCTCTTACAGTTACACAAAGAAAAGATTTGTAGTAAAGGCATCCTTCCAACAAACAGCTGATCCTCCTCACTCCTCAGTACAAAAAAAAAACTCGACCGGGGGGGTTAAGACTGCCCCCGCAGCATTACAAATAAGAAGAAGGACCTTCTCACCCGGCCGAGAAAACCCCCGAACCCCCGAACCCCCGCCCCCACCCTTACACGGTGGCTTTCCGTTGCCCAAGTGAGAATTGGGCCGGTGCCCCCCCCGTGCTTTGGTTATGGGGACGGACGAGGGGATTTTTTTAACCTCAGCCTGAAATTCGCTCCCACGGGGAGTCGAACCCAGGACCTGAGGAGTGCCGCTGGGTCACCTAACCGTTTGAGCTAGGCGCCCTTTGGCTCACTCCTCAGTACACAAAAACTAGTTTCTAATCTAAAAGGTTTGCCAGGAAAAATGCAGTCCTTAGACAAGATGACCATTTCTCCATCTTACATAACATGCCACCATTCCAGTTCACACCACTGGACACCATCACCATGTCACTGCAATGGTAACTGAATCGCGACAATGGAGAACAAGAAGTAGCAAGACTTATTCATGGCAAACAGGCAGCTCAACTTAGAAACCAACTCCTACACTAGATGTCATTCTAGGAAAAAAGAGCACGGTACTCATTGGCCTCATGAGCCATTTCTTCCATGCTTCTATCTTTCCTCTCAATGTCCAGGTCAAGCTTCTCCTTCAATTCTTTCTCTTTCACATCAATCTATTATACCAAGGAAAAGGGCAAGCTTTATTTGATCAGACATCATAATAAAATAACACGATTGATAGAAAACTATGTCATGTACCGCATCATATATTTCATCATTTTTCTCAAAATCCCCTTTCTTCCTCGGGATGACATGAATGTGGACATGTGGAACTGTTTGGCCAGCTTCAGGACCATCCTGATAAGTAATATCACTTGTTAATAAGCAATTTCATGTATGTCAGCATAGAATATAACAACTAAGAAGTCCATAACAAATTTGGGTTATTAGTACTGAAAGGACGAGCACACTACAACAATAAAATTGAAGCGCAGACCACACCTGAATAGCAAAGGTAAGTGAAGATGCTTTATGGTACTGCTCAAGACGTACACCGACTTCCTTTGCAGTAACCCATAAGTCGCTTGTCTCATCAGAACTGAGATCAGCGAATCTTTTCACTTCACGCTTGGGGCACACAAGAACATGTATGTATTGTCAAGGAAAAAATGATATATAGAACAACACATTTTTGTCAATATGTGATGTATCAAACTTTGAGCCAAATAAGTTTATTCTGGTGGGGTTATGAGTTATGACAGCTTTGCACCAAATGACAAAACAAAGAAAATAGATTCGCAGCTCCAATCCCACAACCACAATAAACCGCCCAAATCTAACTTCCAAGAAAGCACAGAAGCCGCTTTGCTGAATAAAAGGATATGACCTGCATAAGAATGATTTGTCTGGTTAAGAAAAAGCTGCAGAACACAAACTGGTAAAAAAGAAATGCGATGTGGTGGCATGGTTTGAAGCTTTACAAAGCTTGAATGCAACGCCCACGACAAGCACTACTCAGTAGTTAGATTGGATCAAGTAGCATCCGCTTGCAGGGAACTTAGTTCAAATTCCCAGCCAAGCATAAGACATTGCCCATATTCCTAGCCTACCGAAACAACCCGTAATGGTACGATGGTACACTGGTGCCTGGATGAATTTATTATTAGGACAGAAATGGCTCTCAACACAAAATCTTTATTTAGCATTTGGAACTCGCTGTTTGATCAATGTAACTTTCATTAGCCACATTTCCGCAAGAAAGCTGGAATTTTTTCCCCCTTTCTCTCGCGATGACTAATGTTATAGCAACCACAAACCAAAAATGATTGATATGGCGGAGTGGCGGCGGGTACAGCAGGCAAGCAAAGCATCGGCAAAGGCGAAGTGAAAACAGGGAAGGGAATAATACCCGGGAGGAGGGGGCGGAGGTTGACCATGGCGTAGGAGAGGGGCGTGGCATGGAAGACCTCCCTGGCGTCGATCTTGTAGGGCCCGAACTTGTAGGAGGCCTCCATCCCCGGCGGCGGCTGAAGCGGGGGGGAGGAAGAGGAGGAGACGGCGCTCGGGTGGGGTAGGCGGCGAAGGAAGCGAGTAGGCGTAGCGAGCGAGAGTGGGAGGACGGCACGCGAGCGCAGCACGGAGAAACCACCAAGCATCTGGATGGAAGCGCTGTCACGGCCATGGAGCCGGAGAGGGGAGCAAAAGGCTGCCGGCAAGGACAGAAGGGCACAGTTGTGGGCTTTGAATGGGTTGGGCCTCGACTTAGAGGCCCACTTGTGCGCTTTCCTTGCTGGCCGCCAGCTTTTATGCTTGGGCTGACCAGAGGCTGCCTGCAGTGCCCGCCGCGGCCCGCCTCTATGTAAATTTGCAGCCCAAGCATTGCAGGACGATGCATCCGTTGACTTGCTGCTAAAATCATGCAAGCTCAAAAGTGATTACCATAGTGCTGCAAAGAAGGAACTAGATTGACTTTGTGATCGCAGCGAAGTCAATCTAGCTAGCTAGGGTAGTGGCATGATGATTCACATCGATCCACTAACTGGAGGCATGCAAAGAAAGGCAAGCTTCACTGATGGTTTTGTTAGGTTGACATTATCCAAGTTGCAGTGATTTTATGATGGTAGTGCATGCATGCCGCGTCGGTTTTCCATTGGATCGTGGATTAGTTTTGACATGACACATACGAGAAGCACTATATATAGTTGTATGCATGGGATTGTTATTATATTTTATAATTTTTATTTGGTCAAACAAAGTAATAAAGAGTTATGGTGGCGATATGGAATGGAAGTGTAGGTCAAGGTGAAGTAGTCAACAGTTAACAGCAATCCATCAGGAACTAGCTAGCTGCGATAAAATTAAAAAGATTATCCCAGGGAAGCTTTTGTAGGCCCCTAGTCTATGTTAGCTAATCTACTGTCACCTTGTGAGAACACAGCAGAGGAAGGCGGCGCCGACTTAGCTGCCTGCTGTGTGTGAATACAGCAAGGGAAGGCGGCGCCGACTTTGCCCCCTGCTGTGATACAGTAGCCGCTGTAGGTGCAGGCGCCGCACGGCTCACCTACAGCACTGTAGTAACAGGCAGTGGCCGGCGCAGAGTCAGCCCTGTCAGGTTATCTAGTTACTGTGCCAGCATGGGCGCTGCACATGGACTAGATAGTTAGAGTTGTATAAATAGACATGTATGGCAACTCAGTAAAGAGAGCTCAGATTTGCCATCACACAGATAGGGCTTCGGCCAATGCTGTTGCCTTGTATTGTGCGTGCTTGCTCTGTTCTCCCTTCCTCTTCTAGCTCGATCCGTAGTGTGTGGGTACGGACAACGCCGGTACGTGGTCTGCACGGCTAGTGGGTGCTCGGCAACACTAGCGCGTGCTCGGTGAGACCGACAAGTGCTCCACTCGCCTGAGCCGGTGGTCGGCAAGATCGGCTGGAGTGGTTCACTGTCGTGAGCCGGTGATCCTGTGAGACCAACGGAGTGGTCTGGAGGCTATCTCGGTGGTCGGGAGGCTAACTGTGGGCCAACAGTCTAGCACTTGGATGCTGGAAAGGTTTTTCTATTCCTTTCTGGATAGTTTTTTTTTCCACTATGGGTTGCTAATTAATTACTCCACGAAGCAACCAAATTACAGACCAAGTTTCGAAGAAAAAAAAAGGAGTCTACTTAGATACTCCAGGAAGCGCAGCACAAAGGGCCTACTACCCCCCGGAGGTAAAAGAGTTTAACTAGAGAAAGTAAAGTAAAGTAGATGCTCTCATAGCCCAACAACAGACCAACAACAGCCATAGAAAAGAAAAGAAACTGTCGACTCCCAAATGCATTGCACTGCACAAACAGCTTCCTTCAAAAGAGAACATCTGCATGACTTGTTTACCATCAGTTGGGGGAGCTTCAAATCCACGATGCCTTTTTGGCCTTCATCTACTGAATCAACACCCGGCCCCATCATCTTCAGGTGTGGCCTCCTGTGGATGGAAGTGGAGTGCCGCCGCCTTAAGTACGTGCTTCAGCTCCCGCTTCCAGGTCTCCCTTGTCTTCTGGCTTTTGCAGTCCTGCCCAGTATGACAAAAAAGAAGCAGCTAAACATATAATCCCGGTAGGAGATCTACACTGTTTTGCTTCAAAGCACACTTTGTTTCTGGAAATCCAAATTGCCCAAAATGCAGCCCATCGACAACCCAACCATATGAAATTGTTGAGCCCGGGGTAGAATTGAATGCTTTTTACCCAAACCCAATATTGATCAACAGAAATTGGTCTACAATTAGCACCTAAAACCATAGCAATTAAGCTCCAAACATATCTGGCTAAGGGACAATAAAAAATGAGAAGAGGGATATCTTCATTTGCAGAGCAAAAGCTGCATCTTTTATCCCCCTGCCAGTTTCTTTGTTATCTTTGGTTAAGATGGCACTATTCTGCACCCAGTCACATAAACACTTTAATTTTCGGGGGAAGTTTTGCCTTCCAGACTCTTTTATGAGGGTTATCTATCTCAGAGCTGCACAAATGGTTGTGCACAGATTTTACAGTAAAAGCACCAGATTTCTCCCATATCCACCTGGGAGTTCTTTTTCATTTGATAAGGCACACCCTAACAGAATGTCTCTTAATCTTCTGTGATTTGTTTGATCCATTTCATTCAACCACCATATGGATAGGTGAAGCGTTGACCCATGCATTTCCCCCTTGTGGTGCTCTATATATAGTTTATTTGCAAATCAAAGCAAAATGTAGCAGTACATGTACATGTCTCCTACACTGTTGCAGCAAGAGCTACCTTAGCTCCTCCCCAATTGTCTTCAGTCAGATGAAACAAACTTTAGAAGAAAATCATTGGTGCTGAATTTCAGATGTCATTTTCACGCGCAAACCAGGAAAAAAATACAACTTTATTTGAGCTTATGGATTGGAGACCGCATTTCGCTAATTAATGATGAAGCGTGTTCAAATTAATTGGAATGTCCTGTGAACAGAAGCAGAGAACAGTATCATTGCATTCCATTCAGAAAACCGTGGGCATTACAGTGCTGCAGATGGTGCTTGTTTGGATGCTGCGCTGTGACAGTAGTGACAGAAGCGTCGTTGGCCGTTAGCTAGCTCAGCTGTGTCCCCTGCCAATTTTACATGCCGCGTGCCTGTCTCTATTGTTGTCCTACATCACTACATGTGGGTGTCCGCCTGTAAAACATGCGAGATCAAGCCTGTGCTTGTCCATGGTAAGAAATTCCACAATCTCCTAGGAGTTGCACGTTTTCCGTAGTTGTGCCCTTTTTTTTTCTTTTTGGACATTATACAGCCTGTTCGGCTGGGCTTATACGGTCGTAAACGATCGTAAATTTTCAGCCGGAACAATATTTTTCTCTCACACCAAACCAGTCAGCAGTACTTCTTCACGATCCAGAAACGAACAAGCCCAGCCAAACGAACAGACCGATAGTCGTGCCCATGCATGACATAGTTTTTGACAAGGTAATAAGTAACACTCTACGTACGCCAACTGCTAGCTCCCACCTTGGATCTAGTTTTGTTAAGCATATTTTTTTGAGTTAGATGCAACAAACGGTTGGTCAATCGGGATTACGGTTTAGGAGAAAATTTGTTTCAAATATTTGAACCAACAAAAGATTCCATCCATCCATGCATGCATGCAGTCGGGTGGGATTTGTATCATAGGTGGCTTTATGTGGTAGGTGGAAGATACAAATTAACTTAGGAAGCACGCACCGCATGTTCGGTTGGGTGCGCTGGTTGCTCCAACTTGTTGCGCCCGCCGGCCTGAGTGCATTCTACGTACAGGATGCACCCAGGTGTATTATAGCAAAATAGTGTGTGTATATGTATGTATGTATGTATATTTCTTTCTTTCTGCCCTTTGAGAAAATTGCAAAAGCCGCACTAAATGTGTCATTTTGATCGTGAGATCATCCGATAAGATGTTTTGTTGGAAAGGTCCACCCCATTGCTAATACTGAGAATTTGGACTTGCTCTTTCTGATCTCCCTACTCTATAAATATAAAGGACAATCAGAAAGAGAGTTTTGTAATTCAGAAAGGGCCTTTGCTTAGATTGATCAGAAAGAGCGTCTAGTTTTTGCAAGTCCAAATCAAGAGTTTTGTAATTCAGAAAGGGCCTTTGCTTAGATTGATCAGAAAGAGCAAATGTGGTCTTTGATTGATGAGATAGATTGATTGTCCAAAATCGTGTCAAATTACAACTCTTGATTTGGACTTGCAAAAACTAGATGCTCTGGTTTCCATAACTTGCATGGCTGCCAAAACCGCGGACATCCTCATTTCTAAAACCGGATGACCCAATTTTGCAGCTTGTGAGACTTTCCTATCATTATAACTTTAGCACCATGAATCCAAATTAGGCGATCCATTAGTCTGTTTGCATCGTCTCAGCGAGGGCTTCGTCTTAGCAAACTCAAATACACGATTTAACCTTATTTTGGTACTGTTACAAGTTCTTTATGTCTTCAAAAAAATCATACCTAAAATATCCAAATATGATGCTTATAACCTGCAAAACATGTAAACACACTAGACTTGCGGAATAATAAGTGTCAATACTAAGTTTGTCAAATTTAGCTATCAATTTATCCCCACTTTTTTTAAAGCCTGCGTACTAAAAGGGCTTGTCTACTCCACACTCATGTGTTTTATGAAGAAACAGCACACGGGTGTTTTCAAGCATAAAAACACACGAATTCAAGCCCCCAAATAACCATGTGTTTTTTTTAAATCTAGCACACGTTTTTTTGGTAGCCTAGGTAACACAAGAGTTGCAGTCTAGAAAGAAAATCCATGTGTTTTTTCCTTAACTAGCACACAAATTCCTTTAGGGGAAAAACCGTGTGTTTTAGGAGAAAGTAGCACACGGATTTTGTGGCTGTTGTAATTTGTTGCAGTTATATTCTGTTGCACTTGTAGTCTGTCAGAGAAGAACACTTAAAGTGGAAGTACAGCTGAAGATTACAACGCATACATAGGCTAATTGAAGGCAACCTG